ACGTACGTACGTACGTACGACTACACACACACACACACACACACACACACACACACACACACACACACACACACACACACACACACACACACACACACACACACACACACACACACACACACACACACACACACACACATATATATATACACACACCCACACATGCACACACACACACCCAGCCACTGCTGCGTCATAGTTCTAACCATATAATACACCCATAACAGCCGGGGCAACTAACTAACAAAGCTATATAACCTGCCGTGTGTATGCGTGCGAGCGTGTGTGTATGTGTGCGTATGCATGTGTGTGTGCACGCGTGCGTGTGCGTGTGCACGTCAAGCTCATCAAAGCTCCAGCTGCAGTCTCTCCAACTGAATGTGGGTGGCAGCAAGAATCCCCTGACTCAGTGCCAACTCCAGTCTACATCACAATTCCCACCATTTCTCGGGACATGCCACAGCTTCTCACTTGCCAGTGTAAGACAGACTGTAAGGCTCCTTGCAAGTGCTGTGTGCACAGGCAGCCCTGCATGTTTCTCTGTAGATGCCAGGGTTCTTGTTCCCATACCCATATAATGAGGGAGGTACAGAGAGATGAGGGCCCAGCTGAATGATGGAACGTGTTCGGATGTGCTTACATTGTCGACATTGTTATAGTCTCCAGGACTTTTGAAGATTATCACTTATGAGGTTATTGTCAATACAGTCCCCGAACAAATTCTGGTGTGGTATATTTTATCAAAACATCAACTTTGTGTATTATTTCTTGAATTTTACCTCTAAATGTATTCCAAATACAAAATTAATGCCAAAAATGAATTCAGTGACCTCAAATTAGCTAAAAAAAACATGTGTCACAATAGTTTCTATGACAAACGGTTCAGGTGTTGTGAGTTGGTCAAGTTTTCCAAAATGGCCACCAGCGGCCATCTTGGATTTTGAGATAAAACGTGTGCCTTTGGATAATTTTGTTTCTGGTGCCCTAAAGAACGTTTATGCTAAAGGAGACCTTTGTAGCATGATTTGAAGTCAACCCCCTATTTTGTGCACTTAGCATGTCTACTATAATGTGTTCTTCAAAAAAGTGCTTTGAATACGACACGGTTTCACACAGTTTTCCCAAACTTTTGCATCTCCGCGGCCAAACTTTGTTATCGGATTAGTGTTCTATTGTCTCTGACAGGACGCTGGGGGCTGTTGGAGATATTAGGCATCGAATTGTATTCAGTGTGTATTGCGTTTCCAGCGTGCTAAAAATAAATGTGTGCTCACGGCGAGCTAGCAGCTGATTTTAGCTGTGTTGCCATTGTGTTCCTGATGATAAGGAAGCGAAACAAGTGCTGTTACTGTGCTTACCTAATATCCTAAACAGCCCCCAGTGTACCGTAGTTACTAATTACAACCTGGTGCTGCCGCCGCTATATCAAGTTCAGGGGCGGATCCAGGGCTGAAGCTAGACAGTATTTTTCCAGATTTTAAGGGCACATCCCCCAAACAGGGCACACCACCCCACAGTGGGCACCGTTAGGCGCGGAAGCACATGGCGATGCATGGGCCTGGGGGGCCTCCCCCAGGAAATTTCAAAATTTCAAGGGTCCCTGGGAACAAAAATGAGCACTATTTTAGCACACATTTAGTCAAGCAACAATAGCTAAAAAACCATATGGAATTTTATTTCTGCTTCATTTTGCCTGCGCTTTGCATACCAGCAATTAATGCAGAATGATTCAAGCACTTCCTTTCTTCTTCAGATATCAAAGCTAATTTTGTTACCATGTAAAATTTTGATTTCCTTCAAGTCCTGTCAATGAATCAGAAGAAAAAGAAATCAAATAAAGAATATAGCCAAATTCCATCAAATTGTTTTCTGTATTTTTTAGCGCAAAATTTTGAAGGGCACTTTAAAATCTAGACCGTATTTCCCAATACGGCAAATACGGTCTGAATCCGCCCCTGAAGTTTGGCCGCGGAGATGCAAAAGTTTGGAAAAACTGTGTGAAACCGTGTCGTATTCAAAGAACTTTTTTGAAGAACACATTCGATTTTCAGGTAAACTGGTGGTGGAGAATCCGAGACGAAAACAAGGTAAAGTTTGAATATATTTATTCATATATATTGATAGAATATTTTTAAGTTGAAAACTACGCAAAACGCTGTTAAAACAGTTTCATACTCTTCTCCCATTATGTACGCTTGATATGTATATATGTTAGCCTAACACTCTGGTCTTAGGAGACATAGCTCTACTGGTGTAGCCTCTCTGCTCCCGCTACAGAAAAGCGCCTACATGTCTACAATCAAAACTACATGTTTCTCTCACAACCAGGCAATAGTTGTGTTTTACGAACACGTACATATATTGTATTCAGTATACATATATTCATGCTTATATTGGAAATTACATTGTCATACATACCTATCCCAGCCAACTATTTCAATCTCATTCAGCAGACGAGAGTAGTATTCGGGTGGCTGACACACTAGCTTACTCGGGCTTTGCTTCCCAACTTGAGTTTCCTGAAATAAATCCGGTATTTGTAAGAAGTTATCCAAGTCAATTTAATATGATCAGGAGTAGATAATAGGGAATTCCCTATTATCTACTTCTGATATGATGCAAGATAAAGGTATGTATCTTGGAATTATATTTCAAATACATAGGTTCATTACATCACTAACATTATGCTATTTTTTATATCTAGCCTGTTTGATAATGAGTGATTTAATCACTCAATTAGCATATTAGCTCTACAGACAAAATACACCATTGATATTCTTCTGAATTTTGTATAGCAATCAGTCCGTCTTTTCGACCAACCCCTAGTCTACTCTTGTTGGGTTACAATATTGTATCTAGGAGAGATGGCTACTCTTGCACTACCAATAACGTACGTCATCCGGCCATATCAGCTAGATGCTGACTGTAATGGTCTGTATTACATCTATTCAATACGAGACACTGTCAGGTGTTGCCCTCTATTATCTTTATTATGTAATCATACATTATGACGTTTATGAAAGCGCGGATATATGGATATATGGCTGACACCTGCAATAAAGGACAAGTTCAGTACTCCAGTGTTATGTTTATTACTGCGTCAATCCGCACCTAAACAGCATATTACACTGACCACCTAAAACAACACAAAATCGCAATTGCACTTATTACCAAGATATTTTGCAGTTCAATGGCGAACTCAGCTAATGAATTGCTCTCTTGGAGTCTCTGAAAAAATTTAACAGAAATATTAGCAAAGCACATTTGTGCAACCTGCAAAAGTGCAAAATGTCAATAATTATCACGGATCAAACTATTAGTCTTCTAACAACTCATTGAGCATTATTTACTTATTACCGGTATTAAATTATTTACATATTATATTATTTATTTATTTATTTATATTTTTATTTAAAGATGCATGGTATCAGAATATTGCAAGAAAAGGGTCGATCAACCTTAAATGCTGGCTTACTCTATTCACTGTATTGAGGCAGTCAGCGAGCAAATGCTTCATTTTCCAGCTACATGATAATGACGCCCCCTGGAGGACACCTGGTGTGCGCAAATGAACCTCAATGTAGAATTCTAAACTCTGTAAAATAAAAAACTGTATTTAAATCCTACAATGTACTAATAAAACCTAGCAAAGGTTGCTTTACTATAATAAACGTAGTAAGTAGTAGTAACGTAATTAGCTTTATATAGCGTTTTCAGACAGATCAACACATTGTCATTGAATTGCAGTAGAAAAAGCTTCAAATTTGCAATTAACTAAAAAGGGAGAAAGATAATTTCAATGTGGAATGAAATATCGAAAATATCATCGGAATTCTGCCAACATTCAGGAGTATACGAATACACAGATACATGTGCTCTTGATAGTGTTGTGTAACATTCTCGCTGCAACATTACCACAATTATAACTAATAAGCCTAAATATAAAGGTGGTGTGAAGCTAGGTCACGGGTGTAAGTATGGGGGGGGGGGTAATTACACCGCACATGTTGCTGTGTACAAACAATAAAGTCTTTATACTAATTACTATATAATATGTGATATAAATACTCTTAATATTTGTTGCTTGTGCACAGCGGAGTGCGTGTGGTGTACTTCAAACTTGAGTGTTGTAGAGGAGCATGGCATTTGAACGTTCAAAAGGATTGATGGTAAATAAACACGAAATGTATTTACTACCCAAGTCGGCATTTGAACGCCATTTGCATGAAATCATCGGCAATAATAAGCGAAAGAGAGTAGAGAAACATTACGACTTTGGTAGTAAATTCATTTCCTCTTTATTTCGCATCATTTTTACTATTGAAACATTTCACAAAACAGGTCAATGCGATACGCCGATAGTATTTCAATGTTGTTGTTTTGTCACAACACAGTGACACTCTCACGAGTATCGTAAATATTAGTGAAACATGTAGGCCCTACCAGTACCGCCCAGTTAATGTTTTCGTTTGTAACTACTTACTTGCTGTTGTACATTCAGATATCCACGATATATGGTTTTGTTATTATTAAAAGGTATAAGTAATGGGGAAGGCATTCGTAGTTTATTTCTCGGCTAAAATCAGCACAGATCTTTGAAGTCGATGACGACGATGCCGATAAAATATATTTTAGAAAACAATCGTAAAATAATTAGTTTATTATTATGTAAACTATAATAAACTACGTATTTTGACAAAACAAACAATAATATCACAGACAAACGTGATAATAGTCTGAATAAATTAAAAACATACGTTTTAGCTTAGGTCCTAGTATTTATCGTTAGGGACAACAGAGGGCGCGGACATCAATCTACCCGGCGAACGTTTGCACGGTTTTATGGAAATTATTTTACAATTATTATAAAATGAGTTCCATAGGCACTGGGGTGAGTGACTCTAGTGTGATAGCACTGAGTAAATGTAAATTTAACTCTTTTTTTTTTTTAAGTGGATGACTTATATAGGCAATACGTACCGCAACTAAACAATCATTACAATGTACTAGTATTATGAAACTGCAAAATCATGATCCCTTGTATTTTGTAAGGTGTAGTTGTAAGATAAAGATGTATTACAAGCCAAGGGATCATGATTTTGCAGTTTCATTAGTACAAGTTGTAAGTACTCCTACTACTAGTACTACTACTACTACTACTAGGATATGTATTGACTCAATAATATTGTGGTTAACTTAATGTATACTTGCCCAAGCTTTCAGTAACCCTGTATAAAATATGCGCGTGTCTAGTTGCGCTAAGTTGGCCATAGGCCATGGCATTAGTACGTTGGTCATACTGTCATTACCGAGGCCATTTACACTCACAGATGTTGTAGCTAGTCTACAAACTCTTGCGCAAGCCAAAACAAAGGAATACCGAATAGCAAACACGACTGTGGTAAAACTATAATTTTGCATGTAGGGTTAGTGATAATATCTAGAACAGCATTAAACCCACCTATGATTATAGCATCTGTAGTCATGGAAAAATCATTAACCATTTGCACTTGTACATCTGGTTTGATTGGAACTAACTAGAAATTCTAGTAGTAGAATCCCAATACATTCAGTCCTTTGTGTTTGAGAGCCATAGTTCTAATATTAGTTAGGTGCGGATCAACGCAGTATAATAAACGTAACACTGGAGTAAATGAACGTGTCCTTTATTGCGGGTCTCAGCCGTATACGCTCTAGCCCGCGCTTTTATAAACGTCATTATGTATGATTACATAATCAGGATAATAGAGGGCAACACCTGACGGCGTCTCGTATTGAACAAATATGATAGTGATTATACAAACCATTACACCTCCCTTTCTTTAACCAAACTGTAGGGGTGTAAACAATTAAATCACATTAAACAAAATCTTCTGTTGATTACTTACGCGTATAACCAGATTAGGATATCGTTTTTTTTTTAGTAGGTTACACTACATCGAACCTAACAACTTGACTATCTTATGGTAACATAATTGTTATAACAGATATATACTTCAAATCTAACTCTTATCACTGTCTTCGGTTACATTTTGTTAAACGTTACTATTATACATGCTAGTACATCCTATCTACTGATATAGACTCTCAACTTAGTTAACAGGACTCAATCAATCTGTCTGGTCGCTTAAACACTCGCGTCGACTTTCTGACTATATTGTCATCTTGTGTGACAGGAATCTCTGGTGTATGATTTACATCCCTAACATTCTCATTGTTAGTAGGTTTCATTGAAGACATTTCATATGCATTCTGTTTTGTATCGGTATGGTTAGTAGTATGACCATGTTCCGTTTCAGGCCTATTAAGTGTCACCGGACTAACTTCTTCTTGGGCCGGTGGTGCAAAGCACTCTATCGTAGCAAGCAAATCAGTCCTATTTCTTCTGTACATTGCACCTGACTCTGCTTGTACTAAATATGACCTTGGAGCTAGTCTTCTAACAACTTTTGATCTCATAGACCATCTGTTGGTCTTCTCATCTCTCATTCTCACTACATCACTATTTACCAGACTTGACAATAACCTAGTACCTTTATCATGATACAGCTTCTGCTTTTGTTTGTTGGCCTCTTTTACTTCCTTTACCTTCTCATACCTATCAACTCTGAGACTGTCTTCAGTAGTCGGTAGGTTAGATCTAAGCTTTCTCCCCATTAACAATTGAGCTGGTGATAAACTCTCAATAATGGGCGTAGACCTGTATGCTAATAACCCAATAAATGGATCATCTCCATTGTGCTATGACTTCTTTAGTATATTTTTAGCTCACCTTGACATCGTCAAGCTGAGCTATTGCCATGGGTCGTCGTCCGTCGTACAACCGTCCGTCCGTCCGTCAACATTTGGCTACGGTCAACGATAATTTAGGAACCGTTTGACCCACATGTTTGAAATTTGGTAGAGTTGTTACTGCTATGCTTCCATATTAAACGTCCTATTTTGGAGCACGCCAGTCGACGTACTTTCGAGCCACGGCAATTTTTTGGCAAAAATGGGAATTCCCATTAGTAAGTTCAGGTTCAACGGATTTTTCTCATTTTTGGTATGTGAATGAATAAGGGCTAGGGGTTTTGATATAAAAAAAAATTATGCAATTAGGTAGGGTTTGGCAATTATATAGCATATTATATAGACACCAACAGTCTGTGGTGTCACACTCCGTCTGGTTCGTTTTACAAGATTTCATTGACAATATCTTTAATGGCACAATTGGTATTTCCTCGCCACCCTGCGATAAAACGTCTATATTAGAGTAAGTTTTACAAAACATGTCGGAACGCAGCATAACCTATTTATTTCAAACGCCGATCGCTACAAAGGCGGTTATAGCGCCCATCTACGGTCACAACAATTGTGATTAATTTTGGTTTATAAATTATTATTGCGATATACAGATGACAATCGTTTCTATAATGTACGTCGATGGTTGCTCAATTAAAACTGACTTCTTCTTACTCACTCATTTGTGTATCAACGGATTTTTCTCATTTTTGGTATGTGAATGAATAAGGGCTAGGGGTTTTGATACTTAAAAAAAAATTATGCAAATTAGGTTAGGGTTTGCAATTATATAGGCATATTATATAGACACGCAGATAACAAACAGTCTGTGGTGTCACACTCGTCTGGTTCGTTTTACAAGATTTCATTGACAATATCTTTAATGCAAAATTCCTGCTATGAACATATTATGATTTATACTATTATTTATTATATTATTATTATTATGATATAATGATTTATGCTAAAGAACATCAAAGCGGGTATAGCGCCATCTACCGTCACAAATTGTGATTCATTTTTGTTTATAAATTATTTATAATTTTTATATAATATTATTTATTATTTTCACATAAAAAATTACACATATAATTATCAAGAGTATATAATGGGAGTCTTCCATATATACTCTTCGTTTCTATAATGTACGCACGATGCGTTGCTTAATTAAAACTGACTTCTTCTCACTCACTCATTTGTGTCCTTTTTTGTGGTGAGCTACAGTGTCATTGACACTTTCATTTACAATCTGAACAGTCTTCTGTACGCTGGACATTCGACTTTGGGTAGTGTGGGCTGGACGTTGTATGGTTAAAATCTTATTCCCTAGCAAACTTCTTGAAATGCTCAGAATCATAACACGGACCATTATCAGAAAATACCTCTTGGAGTAACCATGTATGCGAAAACAGATTCTTTAACCCCATTACTACTGCACTGCTTGTGTGACTGCTGATCTTTACCACTCTGGATAGCAGGAATAAGCATCAACTGCTATTAGGTAGTCCTTTTTATCAATACACATAGATCGTGGCAACTTTTGCCATGGACCCGCCCGGTGTTTTATGTGGACTCAGAGGCTCGGCTTGTTGCCTGTCTCTGTAAGTCAGACACGCATCACACATCTTAACTTGTGTCAACATCCTTATTTATCTAGGCCAATACACAGAATCTCGAGCTCTTGGCTTACACTTTTCCATCCCCATAAGACCTGCATGTATTTTATCAAGTATCGACTTTCTGAGCTTTGTGGGACAACCACTCTATTGCCTTCATGATGATGCCGTTAGTCACGGTCAATTCATCTCTAAAGTTCCAATAAGGATTCATATCTCTGGCATTTTAAACTTATCACTAGGCACCCTAACCTTTCATAATTACCTCTCTAAGTTCATTCTTGTCTCATCTTTGTCAGTCTCCACTCGAATTTCTTCTAGCTTTCTATCAGCTACGGGAATATGCTTCATGACATTGACAACATGCGCACTTACTTCAGTTTCAAACTGGTATCACCTGTGTCTGGTAGATAATTGCGGGACAACATGTCTGCTGTAAACATTAGTTTACCTGGTTTGAACTTTAGCTCACAATTGTACTTTTGCAATCTCAAACGCAGTCTCTGTAATCTAGCTGGGCAGTCATTTAGAGCTTTACTGAAAATAGCGATCAGCATTCAGCAGTTTGTGATCTGTTTCAGCTTCAAACCTGCGCCCATACACATACTGGTGGAACCGTTCACACCCAAAAGATATACCTAGAGCTTCCTTTTCTATCTGCGCGTATCTCTGTTCACACTCTCTCATGGCCCTAGAGACATATGCTACCGGTAACCAGTCTTCCCGTTCTAGGGATTTACACTGAAGCAATCAAATCAATCAACCAATCAAGTAGCATTAAATCTAATCATTAAATTAAATAAAATAAGATCTAGTTAAATTGGTTTTCCACCTTTTATTTCCAAGGCTGTGAGATTTTTAAACCCAAGATGGGAAAGTGAATTTTCTGAAGATAATAAAATATGGTTCTGTATAATGAGAATTTTAAATCTGTTGTGGTTTGGATGACCATGTAAAATTACAGGTTTGTATCTTGTAATAGCAATGTAAACATAGTAAAACACTGGCAATGACTACTCTCAGTGTCAGCATATGGGTCAGCTTGATTTAACTCTGATACACTAACTAGTGACTATCAACTTCTAACTTGCAGCTTAGTGCTAGTTAAAACTGGGAGAGTGTCACCAATCCTAAAATCCCGACTCGGTGATCCTTGACGCGTCTCGGTGCTATATATCCTCACGTGTGCAATCTTGAGCTTAGGCCAAAACAAAATATATGTGTGGTTACCGTTACATGCCGAAAAAAATAGGGTAGGTAGGTAGTTAGAGAAAACATTTTATTTTCTTGAAATATTTTATTTACGAACCATGTCCGAAGGATGTGTGTTGTGCCTTTTGAAGCAGGAACTGAAAAAATGTTAAATTAAAAAAAAAAAATTAGTAATTCGTTTATAAATATGTTGTTTACATTTTAATTTCGTATTCAATTAGCTTGTTATGTATAACCACCTGGATAGTATAAAGGGTCCATTTTAAAAAGTTGGTTGTCATTAATTATGTAATAATTTCTAAACTTTTTTTTGTTTGTTTTTGTTTCAGTATGATTTGTCAGCATCACAATTTTCACCAGATGGCAGAGTATTCCAAGTAGAATATGCAATCAAAGCTGTAGAAAACAGCAGGTGTGTTTCATAATATTGTATGTTTAATTGGCTACAAGTTAGGAATATAAATCATACCTGATTTAACTTTGTATCAAATTCTTATCTAAAATAAATAATGACAAAGCTACATGGATTAACAGTGGGCAATTTCTGTCTATTCAATAGAAGTCTTATATTAAATACAATAAGAAGTAATGTGTCATTTCTTTTAACTTCTCACTATTGTGATGCTATCTCTTGCTTATTGGTGTGCTTGTTTAACTAATGTACTTTTTATTTCTATAGCACTGCAATTGCAATCAGGGGCAAGGATGGAGTTGTATTTGCTGTTGAAAATCTCATCCTGTCAAAGTTGTATGAGAAAGGAACTAACAAACGTATACACAACCTAGATTCACACATAGGAATGGTAAGCATTATGTAATTACATGTAAATACAAACTAACAAACGTATACACAACGTAAATACACACATAGGAATGGTAAACATTATGTAATTACATGTAAATACAAACTAACAAACGTATACACAACGTAAATACACACATAGGAATGGTAAACATTATGTAATTACATGTAAATACAAACTAACAAACGTATACACAACGTAAATACACACATAGGAATGGTAAACATTATGTAATTACATGTAAATACAAACTAACAAACGTATACACAACGTAAA